ACGCTATGGACAGCGGAAAGATGCAAGAGGAGGAGAGTTTGAGTCGGACGTGGTGATGAGTCTCCTCCATCATACATTTTTTATTTAGAGGAGGAAAGCAGGACGAAGATGCAGAAGCTTGGTTTGGTGTAGAAGGCTTACAGCCGTACATGTCTGAGCCCTTGCCTCGCAACGCTGCCAGTTCTGTTAGCTCTACGCCTGCCGAAGATGCAGACGTCCATCCCAGTGAACACTGGGACGGAACTCAATGGGAAAAGAATTGTTTGCGTATATTAGCTGCAACATATGATTTAAGATGCTATCACCGAAATTAGGTGTTCAGGCTGATGTATAACTAACTGGCCTGCATAAGGTAAGGAAATTTTAAGATTTTAAGACAGGATTCTTTTTTAAATAGAAATGTTCTAACTTTTGGGACAATATGGTCTGATAAAGCATACATTTATATACAAGTTTAAGTCAGAATGATTTGACATTTAAATATGACTTCCCTACGATTTTAAATAGAAAGCTTTAATGCAACTTGATTTTTATTGGATGTTTTGTGGACAGACGTCCACTGAGCTGACGTGATGAAGTTAGACAGATTGAGAATCCATCCAGAGGATTTGGCCTGCATCATGGGCTCCATTAGGTTGGTCTGTCTTAAAGCAGTGCAACAGGAGTGCATTCTGTCAGTAGAAAGAAGGCTTCAGCCCATCAAACGTTTCTTACAGTAAAGCCCATGTCTGCCCACAGAGGGCGTTTCTTTCTGCTGCATTATGACAGCTCTGCAGTTAAACAGATGAAAGATCAAGGCTACTTCTAATCTTAGATTTACCAGCTTCTTTCTTTTCATCTCAGGATTAGGAAGCTGAGAAACTTTAGGTTTCTGTCTGACTCTAAACTCTTGATAACCCTTTCAGTGTTTAATTCAATGATATTTAGAAATTTCCTTTTCTTGTTATAAATGCCTCATTTTTCTGAGTAGAATGATCCGCTTTGGTCTCTGAGCGTTTGACTTTGTATTTGTTCTTGTCTTCCCTTTGCTGACTGGTTGGATAAGTAATGAGTTTAATATATTGGTCTATATTTGGTTAATTATGAAAAAGTTCTTTGTTCCTAATCAAGTTCTACACTAGGAAAATAATATTTCTTAAAATAAGTTAATTCTATCTTGAATTGATTATATAAGTGAAACACTTTGAGAAAGGATGAAGACAATTTACATTTGAAATAAGAAAAAACAATTGCCAATTTATTTCAAGTGCATATTATCTGACTATATTATTTTAAGAGTAAAAATACTCATTCCATTGGCAGATACTCTTTTTTTCCTGCTCAAAGTGAGGGTAAATACACTTAATTCTGGAAATGTTGAATTATTTCTACGGTAGTAGAAGTAAAAATGTCTTATATTAAGTGTTTATCCTTGATTTGAGCAGTCAAACTAGATAGTTTGCCAATGGAATACAGTAAGTAGTTTTACTCCTAAAATAAGATAATTGGATAATATGCACTTGAAATTAGACAATACAATTGTGTTTTCTTATTTTAAGTGTAAATTATCTTGTTCCATTGGCAAAATATCTCTTTTACCTCCTCAATCCCAGAAAAATTAATTTACTTTAAGAAAAAATGACTTATCTAGATCTAGATTTTTTCCAGTATAGATCATTTTTGCAGTGTACCCCTTAAGAACATTCAGATAAGTCTTTGAATTTGACTGAAAGTGCTGAAGGTGTATTCCTACTTCAAAGTGAGACTGAGGGTTTACCTGCATTCATGTACTCTCCACAGGTCCACACAGGTAAAAGGAGGTTTACAGTGGTTCTTCTTGCAGGAGTCAGATGAGCATCCAGGGGAGAGACCTTGAGCGCTGACCTGGGAAACCCCGTCCCGTGGTTGGCTGTCCAGCGGCATGTAACGACCGTTGAGGCGTAGATCCCTCATGCAGCCTGCAGGACAAACAATCAGAGTGGAGGACTCAGTGGAACTGGGATAAATCTGCACCAACATTAAAGAGAACCCCTGTGTCACTGATAGATCAGAGGCTTATTTTCAATTTACCAAAAAGGTTTTACACTGTCAGCAGGTTTTAGAGTCAGTTATCGAATTATAGAAAAAAATGCACTAAGATTAAAGTCAGCAATGTGTTTAGATGTGGGATATATAGCACTTTGTGGTCTTTAGTGCATTGTTTTCTGCTCCCATTAGAGGTTCTGCAAGTGCAGACAACTGATACAATTATCAGAGTTTGAAGATATGCAATTCATTCATCAAATTATTAATTTTTATTTTCATTTAAATACTGAGTTATGTAGGTATGAAAGACATCTGAACCATCTAAATGTATATCTACACCTTGTAGATGTGGTATCTCAGTGCAAGAGGCGGGAAACAAAAGGATCCTAACTAAATGAACATCTCTGTTGGATAATGTCACCTCATGCTTGAAGCTGGTGCTGAACTGGACAGCTCCTTCAGTGACAGACTGCTGCACCCTAAATGCACCAGGGAGCGTTATCACAGACCCTTCCTCCAAGCAGCTGGACGACTTTAGAACCACCACTGTTCCCAACAACCTCAATCACTTGTTACATTTATGATGATTTTGCACAGATTTTATCAGTTATATAACATGCTGCTGTCATTTTGCACATCTCTGATGTTGCTGCTATTTTCAAATATCCGTTACTGTAAAAATGTCCATAGCTGAATATTGGTTATTTATTCTCCAGGTTCACAGTTTTTTGTATTGTTAAAACACTTAACAGCATATCATTGTTTATTGTTATTCTTATACATTTGTCTAAGTTCCTTATTTGTATGACCATTTTTTACATAATCTTTTTGCTGCTGTAATCACAAGATTTTTCCCATTCTGGGACAATAAAGGGAATTTTCTATTCTATTCTATTCTATTCTATTCTATTCTATTCTATTCTATTCTATTCTATTCTATTCTATTCTATTCTATTCTATTCTATTCTATTCTATTCTATTCTATTCTATTCTATTCTATTCTAAGTTTAGTTCTCATGCTAACTCCAGCTAGTGGCGTTATCCTTGTGAAGGAGCCACTGCAGGCAAAGCAAAGTATGTCATCTGTAAGATTTATACTGTGTTTTATTTGACCTGTGAGGAGCTTTGCTTGTGATTCTTTATAAAAATGTTTGGTTTTATGATCTTGAATATAACTATTTCCTTTATGTGACATTTTATCACAATATAAAGCAATAAACTTTACAACAATGTTTATCAAACACAGACAGCATCCATCTATGCTCATTTTTTGGTTTTCACCACGATGGACAGAGTTCTGGAGATGCAAGAATCCTGCTGGATGCTCTGAACAGTTTGTCAGAGAGTCTTCTGGTTTTTTTTTTATGTAAAGGGCTGCTACATGTAAGCTGTTACAGGAGCAGCCATTGAAAATGGCCCTTCCCAGTCAAACACCAGCCGAATGGCAGCCAACTTCCAGCCACTGGAGTGACCCCCTCGTGCATATTTTTTTTTATTCGGACTCCACCCTTTCACTAAATTACAGGGTCTGACCAGGAGATGACGCTTCTCTTTAGATCTTAGTGTCCACAAATCATCATAGAAAGAATATTTTAGTATAAATATTGATGTTAAAAAAGGAATATTAGGGGACCAGCCAAGGACCAGCAAAGGGCCCATCAAGGAAAGTGGTGAATTTTTGAACGGCTACTACTGTAAATGCTCATTAGCACTCATTCTAAAATGGATTATTGATGCCAACGCAAAAGCTAGGATCCAAATAGAGGGACTGATTTCTATAAAGGGCGTTTTGTTTCAATTAAATTAAAGGGATAGTTCGGTATA